AAAAAAAAAAAAAAAAAAGAGTTCAGCTAGGTTACAGAAAGCATAAAGGTAGTTGTCAGGCCTGAGAGTCGCCAGTTTTAAATACTAGGCTAAAAGCTTATTTTAAACTTTATTCACCAAGGAATAGGGAGCCCCAGAAAAGATGTTTGAATAGGAAAGTGGAATATATACACATGCAGATTCATATATACATAAATAAACATAAAATATAAGTATATATATGCATATGTACACTGGGGCATTTGTTGTTCAGTTGTAGAATTCTCACCTTCCATGTGGGAGACCTGGGCTCGTTTCCCGGCCATCGCACTTCCAACGCAGCTTCCACCTGTCTGTCAGTGGAGGTTTGAGTGTTGCTGTGATGCTGAACAGGTTCCAGTAGAGCTTCCAGACTAAGACAGACTATGAAGAAAGTCCTGGAGATCTACTTCTGAAAATCAGCCAATGAAAACCCAATGGATCACAAAGGTCTGATCCCATTGGGCATGGGGTTGACATGAGTCAGGGGATGGCTTGCCGGCAGCTAACAACAATATATACAGCAAAGTGCAAAACTACTCCAAAATACTTTCTTCCTAGGTGGTCAATAATTTACTCTTACATTGGATATATGATCTTCAATCTCCCTACTTAGTAAATAATAGTGAAGAGCATGCTGGGGAGATGATGTTCTGGCTGCAGAGGGTGCAGATGATGTTCTGCTGCAGTTGGGTACCATGTTCTAGTCTGTGGTAGCCAGGACACAGGCCTTTGGTGATGCCTAATTGTTTTCTGGAGCACTTGCAGAGGAAGCATTGTACTGGAGGATTAAAATGCCACTGGTCCTAGAGGTTGAGAGACAGCTCCTGCTAGAATCTGGGATGGGGGAAGGGGGTAGGAGATCTGGGAGCAGAAAGGTTTCCTTCCAGTCTGCATCTTAGTAGTTGAATGATTCTTTTTCTATTGGTTGGCTTGTTGATCACCAGGGAGAAAATGCTGTGTCTACCACCATTCACTGACGGTCTCTGGTTCAGCGACCTTAATAGCTTCACTAAGGACATACAAGCCTCTAGCATGCAGGATTCTGGGAGGTAAGGGCACAAAGCTCCACAAGTGCCTAAAAAAAAAAATAGCCTCCAACTTTCCAAACTCCTGACCTTCCCACTACAAACTGTCCAAGGGTCCAGTCTCAAGAAGGAACAAAGCCATAATTAGAACTATGCACCTACCTTATGAAACCACTAGGACAATCCTGCTCTCCATTCCTGTTGACCTCAAGCCCCTGAGGAAGTTCACTCAAAGGTCATCTCTCATTGCTCAGACTCAGCTGAACAGTTCTCAAAGCCTTTCACAGGAATGCATATGTGAGGGCTCCAGGGGGCTTATGATACTCTCCTGCAAAGGACGATGTGGTTAAGCTATTTGTCCTGAGGTAGCCAAAAGAAATGCACCAGAAGGGAATGTCAGTACCATTAATGACCTGTGCAGAAATAGAAATGTTGACAGATTTCTACTTTTTTTCTTGTTTGATACAAAGTCTAAAAAAGGGCACCAAAATCTTGGAGCTTTTCTCTAAACTAAAAAAATGTCAGTAAGGTTTTATATGGTTTTTGAGTCGGCAGTTCAGAATCAGAATCCCAATATATTTGACATATGGGTGAGAGTAGTATAGGTATAGAATTTAACTCTATTCTTAGGACTTATTTATGTTTACTTTGACCTTGTGTCTTAGTTATCTAGTGCTGCTATAACAGAAATACCACAAATGGATGGCTTTCACAAAAACAGAAGTTTATTCTCTCACAGTCTAGTAGGCTGAAGTCTGAATTCAGGGCACCAGCTCCCAGGACAACATTTCTCTCTCTGTCGGCTCTGGAGGAATGTCCTTGTCATCAATTTTCTCCTAGTGTAGGAGCTTCTCCATGCAGGAGCCCCAGGTGCAAAGGACGTGCTCTGCTCCTGGTGCTGCTTTCTTGGTGGTATGAGATCCCAGTGTCTCTCTGGTCACTTCTCTCTTTTACATCTCAAAATAGATTGGCTCAAAATACAATCTACTCTTGTAGATTGAGTCCTACCTCATTAACATAACTGCCACTAATCCCATCTCATCAACATCATAGAGATAGGATTTACAACACACAGGAAAATCACATCAGACAACAAAACAGTAGACAATCACACAGTACTGGGAATTGTGGCCTAACCAAGTAGATACACACATTCTGGGGGGACACAATTCAATCCATGACACCTAGGATGACAGCTGATGACAGCTGATGGGACTCATCACAGTTGCAATAAAATCTCTGTTTATTACATGAAGTCAATAAATGGTAACATATTATGTGTTTAGTAACTTGTAAAAATTATGTTTAAAATTTGCCTACCTTACTAGACACTAAGCTCCATGAAGATTGTTGTTGGGTACTGTGGAGTTAATTTCTGACTCATAGCAACCCCATGTGACAGAGTAGAACTGTCTCATAGGGTTTCCTAGGCTATAATCTTTACAGGAGCAGATTGCCAGGTTTTTTTCCCATGGAGGCACTGGATGGGTTAGAACCACCAACCTTTCAGTTAGCCGGTAAGCACTTAAATACTGTGCCACCAGAGCCCCTTTCATGAAGGTTGGCCTCAATATATTTGATTCACTTCTATATCCCCTGCATAATTCCCATTAAATAGTAGGGGCTCAAAAAACACTTGGGAAATGACTATAGGCCAAAAGAAGTCAAAGAAGAAGACTCTTAAACAAGGTTTAAGGGCAATCCTTAGAGAGAAAAGAAGAGGGAGATTCAGTAAGTCATTCCAAAATTGTGGACCTTGTCATCTGATGAAGATGAGTCACAATAAGCCCACAGGATTATTGAGTTGGGAAACTGTCTACTTTACAGCTTGGCAGGCACAGAGTTGACTTGATCCGTATCCCACACAAAATTAAGGCATCTAGTGCTAAGTCTGGCATTAATTTAGAACATAAGTGGCTGAAAGTTTGTTCATATTTTGAATTCAAACTCAAATTTTAAAAATAAATTGGTAAAATCATATGGATGAATTTATAGAAAGTTCCTATTTGATTTAAAAAAAATAATTACAAATGAATCGACTCTACTCCAGTCCAGCATTTGTATACAGTTGCAAATTATTAGTGTGATTTTATTTTTATACTTTTCCTGAACTTGCTCAGCCTCTCATTAGAATAGCTCACCACATCTTCTAGTCCAAGGATCTACAGACAGTAGGACATACTAATTGATCAGTTTTATTCACTAAAAGTGGTAGATATATGGATATTCACTGTACAATTCTTTCAACTTTTCTGTGTATTTGAAATTTTTCATAATAACATTTTGAGAAAATATTATTTAAATTAGACAGGAAGATTGGTATGGGTCACTTACTGTCACTACTTGAATAGACAGCAGGTACTTATAATGTTTGGATATTAATGAAATTACCATATATATATGTATGCATTTTTTAACTTATCCTTTAACATTTATCAGTATGCTTCTCAACGTAATAGCTCTGTAAATGTTGGGCAAGTAATTTCTCTGAGCTGCTTCTATAACATTTAAAAAAAGTCACATGACTAAAGGCAGGCTGTTTGTAGGTTGTTAGGTGTCATTGAGTTAGTTCCGACTCATAGCAACCCTATGTACAATAGAATGAAACACTGCCCGGTTCTGCACCATCTTCACAATCATTGTTATGCTTGAGCCCATTGTTGCAGCCACTGTGTCAATCCATCTCGTTGAGGGTCTTCCTTGAATTTTTGGCAGTTCCCTGTTGATATACTGGAAGGCAGGCAGTGGGATGAATTACATGATTTCTTGATATCACTTCCTGATTAATGCTAACACATGCAGCTAGAGTATAAAACTCCTACTGCCTTAAATAAATTCACACATATACACATATACATATATATAAACACATACACAAATATATACACTAACTACTAACACCTGTCTGTGGGAGAAAGATGTGGCAGTCTGCTCCTGTAAAGATTACAGCCTTGGAAACTCTATGGAACAGTTCTACTTGTCCTCTAAGTGTTGCTATGAGTCAAAATTGACTTGATGGCAATGGGAACCTCCTGTCTGTCAGTCTGCCTTGCTGTGGTGGCTTGGCATGTTGCTATGATGCTGGAAGCTATGCCACCAGTATTTCAAATACCAGCAGGGTCACCCGTGGTGGACAGGCTTCAGCAGCACTTCCAGACAAAGACAGACTAGGAAGAAAGGCCTGGAGATCTACTTCCAAAAATAACCAATGAAAACCCTCAGGATCACAACACAACATTATATGAATCATTTGCTTTAGACCCATCATCAGGAGGGATCAACTGCTAGAAGAGGATATCATGTTTGGAAAAGTAGAGGACAAGAATATTCAGAAAAGTATATTTCATAACAAAAAGCTAGAAAACCAGACTCCACTGACAAAAGAATGAACAAATAAATTTTGATATACTCATAAAATATTGTATAGCAGTGAAAATGAATGACTTACAACTACAAACATTAATATGGATTATCTTAGAAACATAAAATCAAGTAGACAAAGATGACATACATATATTATGATAACATTTTTATAAGGCTAAAACACAAGGAACTAAATAATATTTACATCCATATGATTACATGGTAAAACTATTTTTTAAAGGGAATGAATTCAGCATAGAGGTTACCTCTGGGGATGAAACAGGAAATCGGTAAGTAAGAAATAAAATGGTATTGGTGTTTTTCTAGTTATTAAGAGGATGATGGATTCACAGGTGTTCCATTTGAAATTATGCTTCACAAATTATTCATATTTACATAAAATCTATTGTATATATAAAACAATACATTAAGATATAAAAGAAGCAGAAAGGGGAGCCCTTGGAAAAAAAGATGAATAATAGCAGTGGGAAGGATACACTGTGTATGTTTTCAGCTGTTTATTTAGTTAAATACATTTTTGTAAATACTAATCAGAATGGCATTTAAATAACTAGATCATCAGATGTCTTTTAGAATTAAAATTTTTAATTTTTGGAGTAATATAGCCCCAACTGTCATACATGTATATCTGAGTATTCATAAACCAATAATTTGCATAAAATATGTTCTTTCGATGCAATAATTTTCTCTTCAGTTTTATATACAAATATCCTGGGGCTGGCAACTTGACTCTTCAGCTATTATTTAAATGGCTCCTCCCTTTGGTTTACAACTATTTTGACAGTCTATACAAAGTAACTACTGTTATTGAAACAGAAAATACTGATATTATGTCATTCCCAGATAGGGTTAAGGAGCTAATTCCTCTCTTTCCAGTAGCGTCACTAGAGGAGTGTGGGGGATGCAGACCACAACAGGTGACACTGTCAGAGGTGTTGACACCAAAATGACTGTCTACAACATTTTTGTGCCATGTTTCAGCAGAAATTTATTAATTTTATAAAAATATCCCTATAGTTAGTTATAACAACAAAAACATATTTTGTAAACCCAGCTTACGTGTATCATATACTTACAAGGCTAAAACTCTATGCTAATTTACTTTTTGAACCTTCTAATTCTTTCTGGTCAGAGCCGTCATTATTACCCAATTACAATGACACTTTCAATCATGTGGTTTCCTCTGCACGTGCTACGAGCACACGATGTTGTTTTTGTTGTTCCTGGTGTTTTTACAGTCACTGATTTTGTTAAATTTTCCAGTGTTTTAGCTACAATATTGTGGGAATTAGTATTTGTGAACGTATATCGATAACTTTTTTGAGAATGAAGTAGTAATTAAAGGAAAAGAAGGAGTGATATATGAGAACTACAATTTATGAATAACATTAGTACAAAAAATTTACTAAGGATTAAGGATTCTGTATGGTCTGGTACAGGAGGAGGTCCTGGGGGGTGGGTGATGACACCAGGAGTTACAGCACTGGGTGACAGCAATCCTAATGACACCACTGTCTCTTTCCTCAATATCTTGACTAAACTGGTGTGTATGCTTTTTTTCTTTTTCAAAATGTGGGTCCTTTTTGAAGAAAACAAATGCTTTCAGAAGAAAACCATGTTATGATTAATGTTAACTAGAATAGATATCCTACGATTCTTTAGACTCCTGAACATCAGATGTTGAAAAAAGCTATTTGGGATCATATTACAAATTTCCCAAAAAGGCCACAGAGCCTTTTTCTAGTGATGTTGTAGAGTTCATCTTGAAAGCAGCTGTGAATATTTAGGGAAACAGTCACAAATTGGAACATAGTTAGGTTCTTAGTCATTAGGACAAAGAACATACCCAACACCAATCAATATGCCAGGCTTTTTAGACCACGAACAGAAAGTGAATTGTAAAGCTATAAAAATTTCTAAAGAAAATAATTTACCTATTTGTTT